GCAATTGAAAGATACCTCAACAACCCGCCATTTAACAGGGGAATCTCCATTTCAAAAGGCACAGATTTCCAAGCGTCAAACAAGCTCCTTCAGAGTCAGAGTCAGAGTCAGAGACAGAGAACAAAGAAAATACAAAACACAAACCTCCAATTCCAGTAGCAGCCCTCCAAAAGTTGAAGTCGTCAAATAATATCCGGGGAGACAATCCTTGGGGTCTTCTGCCGAATATGTGGCTTCATATAAGCTTGTACTGGTATCGTCGAGGACGCGAAGGTCTACGACAGTTGTCGAAGCAAAGCTTCCAGTTCTTATTAGACGACAACGGACGGGAATTGTTTCAATGACCCATGACGAGGCTACTAAGAACCATCCAGGGGGGATTGAAGAAATCAGCAGTGTAGAAAAGGAGGCCAGGATGTATTCAATATCCGAGGATCCACTTTTTGACGGCCTCAAGTGCCTCAAGAACTATCTCCAGAAGTTAAATCCTGCCTGCGAAGCACTTTTTCAGTACCCGAAGCTAACCGTGAAATCTGAAGATAAAGTTTGGTACGACAACAAGCCTCTGGGGGTCAACAAAATTGAAGGAATGATGAAAGAAATTTCTAAACTAGCGTTTCTTTCAAGAATCTACATGAACCATAGTGTCAGAGCCAATGCAATCACGCTGTCGTCCAACGCGCAAGTTCCATCGCGGCACATAATGGCGATCTCTGGTCATCGCTGTGAGGCTAGCCTGAGGAATTACAACACTCGTCCATCAAGTGAACAGCTAAGGGCTTGTTCAGATATCCTCTCTGATGCATTGAATAGAAGGCCATCGCAGCCAAGTTCCTCTGATGCAGCCACCAGTTCAGAAAGTCCTCCCGCTGCTGTAAATTCGACCGTTGTTTATTCACAGAACAACACAGCGCAGCAGTTTGTCAAGTTCCAACCACAAGCTTTAAGCAGTTTGTTTTCAAATTGTCACGTTGATAACGTCCAGGTTTTCTTGGGCCAAAATTCGGCCGGATTTCATTGATCATGTTACTTAAGATATTGGTTTTTGTAGGCAAAAAATGCACTCTTATGCATTTGAATTATTAAGTAAGATTTACGATTCTTCGTGATAGCTTTTGATGATTTGACATTTTGACAGCTTTGGTCTTGTTCATCCAATCAAATTAGGTTGCCCATTCTAACAAGGATTCTGATTGGCTTATTGTAAGCGCGCTCTGTCAGAGTATAGAGCATGCTGACTACATTGTTGTTAGCTTTGAAAATAAAGTTTGTTTGGAAATAGTAATGCGTGGGGAATTTAACAGATTTTTTATTATAAAACAAATAGAGAAGCCTTGACTGTGCTCTGTTCTGTAGTAAAGCACTTAGGAAGCGGCTAGAGTACTCAAGAATTGGGGAGAGACACTCGACTACGTCTCGTGTTTCTCCCTACACTTCTTTCGTGCTCTAGCCGCTTCCTGCGTGCTTTACTACAGAACAGAGCACAGTCAAGGCTTGTCTATTTGTTTAACAAGTTTTGAGTGGTATATACCTGCAATGTGGAAATCTGGAACTGCGTGGATGGCTAAGAACTGTTACAGTAGTTTATACATTATTAACATTGAACCTGTATGGAATTTCACCGTACAATTCAGTTCAATATTAATGTACACAGCAGTTCCATAGGATGTTCTTATCCTAGAAAGATTGAAGTTATTTCTGTAGAGTAAATCCAGTTAGCACATATGTGTCATCTCTATCTGACATGCAAAGTTTTGTTTCAACAAAAATGTTAACATCAGCTTTCCTAATGTTGTAATCGGCACGTACATCTTGTATATGTAAGTGGAGAGATCTAACATTTTAAAACAAGATTGTTTCTGTTTGGGGTGAATCAATAATCTGCAAGGTTCCTAAAGGCTTGAAACTTGCTTCTGTTCTCAGTCTACTCATTTCATTTTTAACTTTGTCACTGACCTTTATTCTTTTCTCATTCAAACTGAGAACATGTCGTGAAGAACTGTTTCTTACTCTGCTCAAGCCAACATATGTTCCGTTGTGGATGTTGGAAAATCGATAACTGCTTCATTTAGTGTATCACCTTGACAACAATGAATCGTTTTGGCAGCAGTAGGTCTAAGTGGAAATTGATGCCAAAGAATTTGTACTTCTTTTTTTTTCTATGTTGATATGGATATTGTTTTGTTACTTCTAAAACTGGTGTCCAGTTTTTATGTATATGTGTGTGTGTTGAACAAATGAGCATATTCTCTGTGCTGCTTTCAGCCTATTTCAAGATGTGGAAATGCTACCTAAATAATACTTGGTCTTAAGGAATTTCTGTACCATTCGTTAGTTCATCAGTCACATGAACATTCGCTCCGACGAAGGGCTAACGCTCGAAACGTCAGCTTTTGTAATCATTACGGTGGCCAATTTACCATTTCAACTTTGTTGATATATCCAAATCACATCAACATTAGTTGTCAAGTCATATTTTGCCTCAGTTGCTACTTATACTTGTGAATATAAGCCCAATGTCTTTGTTGGATCATCTAGGACTCTATCATTCATTTGCCTATTCAGAAAATCAAAAATATTCCCAATTATAATGTCCACAGCCTTAATTTGAACTTTATCAGTTTTCGAGAGAGTATATAGGACATTGTTGTGAGCATCTACTGATGCATTTGTAAATGTGTTTTGTTCACTAGATAATTTTCATTTTCTGGTGTTACATTCAAAAGTCTTTGTTTCAAAATGGCTTATCGTCTTCAGAGTGTTTGCTTCTCTCAAACGATTAAGTAGCTCTGCAAATTGTTTGTCATCTTTTTGTCCCATTATTTTTGTCAATTCGAGGAGGGAGAAATACTCTCTCCAGATGTTAGTTGCTAAAGCACTATAGCCAGATTGACAATTTTCACAAATTCACTTATCATAAACTAGTTTTAGCTGGAAAAGATCTGCAACAGTTATCAAACTTATTCCACCAAATGGTTCTTTGGTTTCCTTTATTTGTTGTAATCGTAAATTCAAAAAGATGAACATCTATTTCCAAACACAGAGGTGCATTTATTTTCAAATTGTGTTCTACAAATTTGTACAAAATGCATCAAAATAGAAGGTGGAAGACTTACCTTTTCTCCCAGATGGTAAAACGTTCATTCCTTGTACTGCATTCATCATGCGCGTGATCGATTCCTCGTCGTAAAAATGAACTGATGTATCCGATCAAACAGCTATCTATAGTTTGGACTGTGTCATCGTCGCTTATAAGACTTTGAAGCCCTTTTCTTTCAACTTGAGTATTCTTTGGCACATTTCCTCCTCGTTTGTGAGGTCTACAGGGGTGTATTTTGATCAAGGGTGGAGCGAAAGGAAGGAAAACCAATTTGATAATTTTGGCGTCCGCACAGTGACGACACCATTTTTGATAACTATGTTGACCTCTTCGTGTGTTCAGGCAAACATTTCCGCCTCTGTCCCCCCTCTAGATATATGAACAAATATAGAAGACGATTGAACGAGCTGAGGAACAAAGTCAAACCCTGTAGGGGAGGCAGGGGAAAACAAGTTTGATGCATAAATTAATTGTTTAACAGATTAGAACGGAGTGAGTGAGTGATTGAGCGATTGAGTGATTGAATTTTGCGTCTATACCTAAACCTCATCGTATGACGTATGAATTACGTCATACCATGAGGTAAAAATTATATTCACTAGCCTAGATCGGTCCGTATTGGGAAAAACTGTGCCCACTGTCTTGAGTACCGCCCTCGGCCTACGGCTTTGGACGGTATCAAAGGCCTCGAGCACAGCTTATCCCAATATACAGGCCTCCCGTCTAGTGAATAAATTACATATATGCTGTAGGAGTCATTTCATTGTTCATTTTGATTATTTAAAATTTATGAAAAAAATTTAGGGGGTAACTTTTAATTCATCTTGCAGCTTGTGAAATGGATGCCATTGGTCTAGCCATTGGTGGTAAAATTCCAGACAACAGCTTCTCTGCCTCATCGTATTTCCCGGGGTGGGGACCCTCTTATGGTCGGCTTAATGGAAGTATCCGGGGATGGGCACCCATGTCTAACCACAATCCTGCTGACTACTTTCAAATTGACCTGCTGTATGAATATGTTATCTGTGCTGTAGCTACTCAAGGATCTAAAAATACTGGAGAGTGGACAACAACATACAAGATACAGTTGTCATTGGAAGGCACCACTTTTGTCACCCACCAAGAAGACAATGTTGACAGGGTAAGTTTATAGAAGGATACATACATACATGCATACATACATACATACATACATACATACATACATACATACATACATACCTACCTCCCTACCAACCTACATCCATACATACATACATACATACATGCATACCTACATATGTATAACAACAACTTAGGTATTACCGCCGTTAGGAAAGCAAATGATTCAAGATCTTGCAATTTCCCCCCACTGATTGTACAAATGAGGCTGTTGAAATTTTTCTCCATGTTAGCAATTGTCAATTTTCCGATTAAAATTTTAGTGCAAAAGCATGGCGCCATGGGAACAAAAAATGCGTGTATTTATGCGGACTTAGAAATAGACATAATTGACTAAAAAGCCAAATTGGAAGGTTGCCTAACACTTATGCTCTGACGTTTGGACACAGGGTTTGACCAAATTTATTCAATTCGCTGATTACATAAATTCTTTTTACCCTACCATCATATTCGAATTATTACGTTCAGATGGTTCTCTTCATGTTTTAGATCTTACATTACACCTTACGGATGGGTTGATTGTCACTGACATTTTACTCCAAATTCACTGATAGCCGCTTTTACTTGCCTTTTTCGAGCTCCCATTGCAAAAGAGCCATTCCTTATAGCAGCGTAAGGAATTCAACGCAATTCCTCCCCCGTTAATTTCTTGCAAAAGAGATCTCAAGAATACAAGAGTTATCTGAAGCCACAGGTCTAGTTGAAGAACAGTTTGATAAGGCCCTTCAAAATGCAATATCTGAACTTTTAAGTAAAAGTTGGAGGCCAACAAGAAAGTTTTTCCTCTGGTGCTCGATTATAATCCTATTTCGCCAGGCATTTAAAGCACTTTCATTTATTACGATCTTCTACACAAGTCGTAGAAATTTTTTTCAGTCAAATCTATATTTCCTGCTTACCGCCGAACCAAGAATCTTAAAGAGATTTTAACATTTTCCAAGTCTCGACCCAGCTCTGTTTCAAATCAGAAGGTTGACGAGGGTAGTTGCTTTAAATGTGGTAAAAAAAAAAAGGTGTGGCTTGTGCAAGGGTTTCTTACTTCAAGCTTCAAAATTCCAAAGCTCGGCCACAGGCAGACTATATTCCATTCGACAAAAATTAACCTGTTCGTCCAAAAATACTATCGACCTTGCAATATGTCGTAAATCTAATTTACAATGTATAGGGTCTACATCGACCGAATTTAAAATTACGTTCAGCAACCTCAAATCAAGTATGTTTAATAATAGAAGAATATGTGAACTGGCGGTACATTGCAATAGCTCTTAACATGAAATTCATTCGCTCCGACGAAGGGCTAACGCTCGAAACGTCAGCTTTTGTAATCGTTACGGTGGCCAATTTACCATTTCAACTTTGTTGATATATCCAGATTTTAATACCGTAGAGCAAATTACACATTTCCAAACTCCTTTACATCTAGACCAACTATTGCTTATCAGAGAAGCCTTTTGGAAGACACAATTGTTCACGCTTATTCAGATGTCTAGAAATTCTGTGTTTCGATTTTTCCGTTTGTTTGAAATTTAAATCTTTTTCGCATACGCCACAGAAGCCGGTACCTTTTATAAGCACGACCACTGGGAAACGTTTTTAGTTTGCAGTTTTGAAATTTTGAAAGTCTATCTGAAGAAACGTTGATATCAGCATATACATATATAAATTCTGTATACGAGGGAAACCCTGACCCTGTACATCCCAAGTAATCATACTTAAATAGAATAAAAGTATGAAAAGAAAATTTTCCCTGAGCGGGATTTGAACCTATGTCCCCCCTTACTAGTCAGTTGTGATGACCACTACACTATCAGGACAACCATGCTGGCAACACGGCAATCGAAGATGTGATTTACGTGATCGGAGACGTGGTCTCCCGGGAAACTTAATTTTCAAGGTGACAGGGTAGGTTATAGGGTTCTCCTACCTTTTGGGTAGGGGAAGCCTATAACTTATAGATTATAGGCTATAGGTTATAGGCTTCCCCTACCCTGTGAAAGGGTAGGTTATAGGCAAAGAGAACAGAAAGAATTTGGATTGATGCCGACGCTTATCAACAGACGCTTATCATCCCTCCCATCCGACAAAACCTCCTTCGACCAAGCCGCTCCCGCCTACCAGAAAGCATTAAACACCAGTGGTTACAGCTACACATTCCACTACGAACCAACGCACACAC